GGTTTATAAGTAAGAGGAGGCTGGGCTGAAGAATTTTATTTTGGGACAATGTTCGTGTTTTGTTTTGTGTGTGTGTGTGTGTGTGTGTGTGTGTGTAATCACCTGAGGTCTGGAAAGCAAAACCACCATAGCACACCACAACTATATGTTTTCATCATTCATGTATTCCTAAACTATGCTATAACTGAATTCAAAGAAACTAGTTTTCTTCGGCATTTTAAAAAATGATTTCAATCTATTGAGAGGTTTAAAATATCTTCTTCTGTGGCTGGGCTGCTTGTCACCAAGGCTATCTTAGATTGGCCTTGTCTTTTCGCCTCCTTGAAGGCAACAAGTGGTCTGTGAACTCCCACACTGTGGCTTTTTGAGGAAAGTAGACCCCCCTCACCAAAGAGGTGGTCCTCTAACCTTGATCTGGCTGTCTGACTGCTGACTCCTATGCACATACTGTGAAGAACCCCGCAGAAACTTCCTATCCCAGGGTCTGGTGACATCAGAGACATAGGACTTCATCCACCTACGCGCCAAGGTGTCTACATCAGCAGGCGCACCCTCTGAAGTGGCACCCTCATGGCCCCACCTTCCAGGGTCAGGAGAGATGCCGTGGACTTGCTCACATCCAGGCAGCCGTTGGGCATAAAGATGAAGAACCTGCTTGACATTTAGATTTTGAACAAAATAAGTTTTCTGCAGATATTGTTCTCCAGCACCCGTCATCCCTGGCAGGCTGTCTTACCCGGGTCATATGCAGCAGCGTGATCCTAGGCACCACGCTAGGAAGGAGGTCCTGCCTAATGGAGTCAGCAGTTGGTAAGGGGCAGCTGGGAGGAGCTGGAAATCCCTGCAGCTCTTCCTTAAGCCCACCAGGCCCCAGTGGGATCCCAGTTTGCAGGCACAGAGGCAGTGCAGAGAAAGGGCATGCATCTCCATCTAAACTCTTTCCTTATCATTTTATTGGTCTTTTCCTTTTTATTATCCGAGTTAGCCCAGTTACTGATCCGTATACTTGACTAGGTTTGTAAGTAAGAGGAGGGTGGGCCAAAGAGATTTCATGCTGGCACAGAGCTCGTGTTTTGTTTTGGGTGTAACACTTCGCAGTCTTCAGCTTGCCCACACTGCTTCTCCTCCAAGCACAAACACACCATGTTAACTCTTTCACCACGCAAGCAAGTCAGAGGCAAGGGGCTCACTTTATCAATGGTGCAAAAACCACTAGGATCTCACTGGGGAATAGCCCTTAAAAAAAAATGCATCTATAACAAAAGCAACAACCAAAAATAAAAGTTAGAAAACTTCAGATCTCGACATCTGCCTGAAGTTCCTGCTGTGCAAAGCATAATTTAGAAACAGTGTTTTGGAATGCTGAAGTGTCCCACCAACCAGCGATCAACTTCCTGCTATCTCTCTCTTTTTTAACTGCCCTCTCTAGGCATGGCTAGTGCAAAATCCCTTAACCTTTCCTAAATACATCTTTTTAAGGAACTTTGGAAAACCATTGAAAAGATCAGCTCTTGTGCGCGCGCGCACGTGCGTGTGTGTGTGTGTGTGTGTGTGTGTGTGTGTGTGTTGCTGTGCTGTCATTCACCATCTCTTTTCCTTTCTCCCTCTTGCTCTCTCCTATTTGCTCCTACGTTCTGGTTGAAAATGTGCGCGTGCTCTTGCCAATGCTGACATGCTAATAAAATCAGTGCTTCTGAATGTGGCATTATCCTGATAATCTAAAACACATTAGTGGTAGCAAGTGTTCCTGATATTCATTTATATTTGGCCTCTGGGTGATGCCAGACTTCGCAGTCCAGGCCCTGTGTGCGTCCTCATCTGCCATGCTGATATTTACTGCTTTCCTATACATCTGTAACAGGTGTGCGTTATGGCAGTTACAGACCCACATTCTCCTGCCTCTTGGCAGCTATGACAGCTATTTCACAACCATAGCCTGAATTTTCTAATAAGATTTAAAAGGATAAAGCAGTCACTAAACACAAAAGGCTAATTATTGTATGTTATTTCACCCCAACAGACTTTCCTCTTAGTGAAGGAGCAGACAATAAATTAGCTTAACTGCACTAATGATAATGAATCATTATAATTAAGTATAATTCTCCATTAACCTTTTGGAGGTTTTTGCACCACTGATGGTAAATTTGAGAGAGAGAGAGAGAAGAAAGAGTGGACTTGGCCACATTAATTATATTAATGAAAAAAGAATCTTGCTTCTTAAAAAAAAATGAGTCAAAACAGAGGAAAGTGGGTAGGATGGGGGGCAGTTAAGAACGGGGCAGGCTCAGTGGAGTGTATGTCATGTGAGTCGTCTCTATCAATCTAAGTAACCTTATTGTACATCACCATCATTAAACGGTGAAACACCGGGGACTCTGAGTAGCTATAGTGATACAGGCCTTTATTAACCAATGTGCTGTCCTGTCATTATGTGCAAAAGGGCATAATACGTTTTAGGATGACAGCAAACATTAATGAGTCAAAAAATGAAAGCTGCCTATGCTACCTGCTGCTCATAATATTTTAGACTGGCGGTGGTGATTCCCAGAGCTGCCACCGTGAAGTCAGGGCTTCTAGCAGCCTGCTGTCTACCGTGCAACAGAGAAGCGACGGGCCAGTCTCAGCCAACCGACAGTTCAATCCCAGGCTGGACAATTAGCCCGAGACCTCACCTCCTTAAGGCAAAAATAAAAGGGCCACTGTGCTAAATGTTTCTGATGCTTATTTGAAAATGACTGCAAGGAATTCCAATGATTAAAATAAATCTGCCAGGTTTCCATAAGATCTAGCTCCTCAATCAGCTCCTAGCAGCATCAGGAATAATACATGATGGGAAAATGAAAGTACAGCAGCTGAGACCCACAGTGCCATCCAGACAACCACCCGTAGGACACCCCAGCTCCTCGAAGACAATTAGGACTTTGCAGCCACTTAGAACCCTGACTCATCATAGCAGCATATTATGAATTATCCATATCGATTCCACCTCACAGAGAAACCAAAACAAGATAAGAACAATTTCAATCCGCAAATCCGATCTGCCAAGGCAAAACAGGGCAAATGGAGCCAACATTTGCAAACCCAGCAAAGAGTTAAGGATCCAGGGCATGCCTGGCTAGATAGGAAAAATGCACTCGCAGCCGGCCTTGGCCAAATTATTTTCACTTTAGATGTGTATCGCTGCACCTCATGGACATCTTATTTAATCAAATCACGTGTGGCACTCCATCCTCCCCCTTACCCTACGTGCCCCCAGCTACCAGGAGGAAGCCCTCGCAGTCCTTTGCCAGGCTCATTGTTAGCAGCTCAGCTCCTCCGTGCACTTCAATTCGGGTCCATCTCACTGGCGTCCACATGAAAGTTTCACTTGCTTCCCAAGTTGCCCAAACTTTCCGAGAACGTTGCAGTGTGCGGAATGCAAACATGCCAGGTCCTTGTCCCCTCGCTAGTCACTGGAGACTCCAGAGATCAGGAGCAAACGGCTTGCTTCTTTCCCCCCCGGTATGAGTTGTAGCCAGCAGAGACTGTGGGATTGATGTATTGCCATCTATTTTTACACAAGCAGCGAGCAGCTCCACACACAGTCCTGCATAAACTCTATTCTCTCTCCGGCTTCAGGCAGCTCTCCGTGGTACAGCGAGACTTAACCATTGGCTTCCCTGCCACCGACGCTAATGGAAAACCTCGCACTGTAAGGCATATATGTGTTTTGTTGTTTTTTCTCTTTCTAGTTGCTGGCCAAATCTTTCAACCACATATAGGAGTTTTAAAGGAATCAGCTTCATTGTTTTGTGTTCTGTAGGAAAAGCAATCTAAGAGAGCCCAGCAGGATTATTTAGGATTTGGTGAGTTCTCTGTCTAATGAACAGAGAGACACAGGGAAAAAAAAAAAATTCCAGACTAGCATCAAAACTGACTCTATTTGAGCACATCTATTTTAATATTTTTATCTTCATCTTATTATAAATAGAGATGGCATTTTTCCAACCAGGCCACTAAACACCACTGGAAAGACTTCAGCTTCTGATTCATATCAATATCTGAGAGCATAAATATTGCATATGAGTAGAAACAGAGCCGAAGGCACATGGAAAGAGTTTCCAACTGCAACAGATACAGATGACAGCAGCTAAGCTTTGATTTGCTGAAGGCATCGCAGAGCCACCTTAAAATAGCAAACTTATTGGAGTTAAGAT